TACCGTTCCCAAAATCCGTTTTCAACCGAAATTCTGGGTTAAGTAAACGGGCGTTTAGCACGGACACCTCCCCGGGGTCCTTCCCCATTGAGGCGCTCGGACCGGCGGAAGGAGGGGCGGGCCCCGCCCCGTTTTGCTCCCGGCTCGCTGATTGGCTGCCGCGCGCCGGGAGGCCCCGCCCCGATGCGCGCGCTGAGGGCGGGAGAGCGCGAGCCCCTCCCTGCGCCTCCCTCCGATTGGCTGGAGCGGTCAGGGGGCGGGGCCGCGCGGGGGCGGGAAATGTTTTCCCGGGAAGGTGTCACGTGGCGGCCCCGGCGGGAGCGGCCTCGCCATGACCCGGTCCCGGGCTGGGACAGCGGCGGCGGCGGCGGCCAGGGCGCTCCGACGGAGCGGCGGCAGCGCGGGCCGGGGCAGGAAGCGCACGTCACCCCGAGGAGGTGCCCGGCAGCGGGAGGGTTGGGGGGAGCGTGGGGTGTCCTCTGCTGCCCCCCGGGCAGCCACTGGTGCCTCCTGGGTCCTCGTAAGGTCCCGCACTCGGTGCGCGTCCACCCGGCAGCGGCCCTGCCGAGCTCCCGCCTGTGCTGCGGTCGAGCCCCGCAGCCCTTCGTGCCCTGATCTCGCTCTCCCGGCAGGGGCCCCGGCTCCAGCGCCCACCCCGCCACCCGCCCGGCATCACTTCAGCGACCCGGCGGAGGTCGAGTCCCTGCGCAAGAACCTGCTAGCTTGGTACGACAGATGCAAGCGGGACCTTCCTTGGAGGGCGCTGGTAAGGGGAGACATCGGGAAGCACTCTGCCTTAAGGGAGCTTTGGTGAAGTGACCATGGTGTCTTTCCCTTTGTGGCGCATCCCTGCCTTCATGGAAGCACTCCCAGCTAGTCGTGGCAGTTCCTTGGGGGGGCTGTCTGTAGCCAGTCCCTAGGTAGGAAAAGTAAAGCAGGGTACACTTCTCGAACACAGCCTCCAACCAGGAGTTCTTTTCTCTGGCATGATTACTTGTTTTTTAATCCTGTTTTGTTCCTGCCTCTGTGATACCCTGCAGCAGTGAGCGCTGCATGGAAAAGGTTTTCCATGCATTTGCTTTGTATTTGCTTTAAGCCCTCGGGGTGTTTTTGTTAGAGCTCCTGCCTGCTCTGTGCTCAGCCTGGCAACCAGTGGCTCAGGGGTGACGGGGTGCTGAGGATGCAGCCTCCTTTACAGCAGCATCTGCCTGAATGGTGCTGGGAACTGCTTGGCCCCTCTGTGGGATTTACATCTGCCTGCAATCACTTCCTGTGTGGAAGGGCTCAGGTCTGGGACAGCTCCTCTCGTGGAATTTTGGATGTCGAAGGTGACTCTGGGATATTTCACCAGGAAGAAGCTGCTTTGGCTGTCACTTGGTTAACTTGAACTCAGAACTTGTGAGCGCTTGGGGGAAGTATTTTTTTTTTTTTTTTTTTTTCAAATCCCACTGTGGCATTCAAAACACACCACAAGTAGTTTTATTTTACATGCAGGTTCCCTTTGTGTCACACAAGGTCCTGTATCACCTCGTTTCTCACACCATGATCCTCCCCTTTCAGGCAGCGACAGAGCCGGATGCCGACAGACGGGGGTATGCAGGTGAGGAACGGGGACTGTGCCCCAGCATGTGTGGGGTGCCCCTCTGTGTGTGGCATTGTGAGGGGTGGCTTCAGTTGCCATCCTTGGAACAAGCTGCATGGAGCAGCCATGAGAGCCACTGATTCACCCTGCAAGGCACTGCAGGGTTGGAGAGCCCACTTTGGGCCTGGGGGAGCTCGTGTGGGGTAGCGTGTGGGGAAGGTGAGGGGTGGGAAGGGATCCCGTGAGCTGGATGCTCTGCAGGGCTTGTAGCCAGTGCTCACGTGGCCACGGCACGAGGTGTGGGTGGTGCTGGGGCCTCTGCTCTGATGTCTGCCCTGCTCCCTGCAGTGTGGGTGTCCGAGATCATGCTCCAGCAGACACAGGTGGCTACAGTGATCGACTACTACAACCGCTGGATGCAGGTGACTGTTCCTCACAGAGTCCTGTGCCCACAGGCTGCCCCTTTTGGAGAACATGTCCACTGCCTGTGGCAGATCCCCAGCTGCAGAGCACAGCTCTGCTTGTCCCTGACTTGTCCCCTTTCCTCTGTACCACAGAAATGGCCAACACTGCAGGCTCTGGCACAGGCATCCCTGGAGGTGAGTGCCACTGGGATCGGGTGCTCTCCCTGCCCTGTGGCTCTCCATTAACACTGTGTTGTGTCTCTTGGAGCAGGAGGTGAACGAGTTGTGGGCTGGGCTTGGCTACTACTCGAGAGGGAAGCGTCTGCAGGAGGCAGCAAGGAAGGTGCTCTGGAGCTGGGGCGGGAGGGCATTTCCAAACCCCTCTGTGGATGGTGGGTTGGTGCTGGCTCACACCTGCCCTGCCTTGCTGGGGCTGTGAGCTGCTGGCATGAGGCTGCAGAGGGTGGGATCCCATCTTCCTGTGGGCAAAACGAGTTGCCTGCATGCACCCACCCCAGCTGCTTCCTGGACTTCAGCTCCCTCTCTGCCAGGTGGTGTCTGAGCTGGGTGGCCACATGCCCAGGACGGCTGAGGCCCTGCAGAAGCTGCTGCCGGGAGTGGGCCGATACACGGCGGGAGCCATCGCATCCATCTCGTATGGCCAGGTGAGAACTGGGCATCACTGGACATGTCTTCCCTCTCTGCCACCCAGCCTCACTCCTGGCAGGGTCCTGCTGCTGGGGTCTCACAAACCAGGGGCTCCTCCTCAGGGCTGTGCTTGGCTCTTGCTCTTCCCTCACTTTGGGGTGCATCTCACCCGCTGCCCAAGCTTGGCCTATGGGTTGGCCTCTTGTGTGTCCCTTTCCATCCTGGGAGCAACCCAGCTCCCTGCCTTGCCTGGAGCACATCCCAGCATGGTAACCCCAGTTCCTGGTCCCAGGCTACTGGTGTTGTGGATGGGAATGTGATCCGTGTGCTGTGCCGCCTGCGATGCATCGGTGCCGACTCCAGCAGCCCGGCCGTCCTCGACCAGCTCTGGTAAGGGGAATGCTCTGTCTCTGTTTGGAGCTGTGGTGATCATGGCCAAGCACAGGACTACTCAGGAGCCATGGGGAGCTGAGCCTGTGTAGGGAGAGAGGCGTGGGGTACAGGAGCTGTTGGGAAGGTGGTGCTGCTGGGAGTAGTGGAGAAAGGAGCTGTGTTACCTGTGCCTACATAGGAGCATTGTCTGTGGCAGGCAGGAGGCAGGCAAAGGTCCTGGGATGCTCTCCTTGCAGAGCCCTGTGCTTCTCACTACCATTTGTCCAGGGACATGGCCAATGCCCTGGTGGACAGGAGCCGCCCCGGGGATTTTAACCAAGCCCTGATGGAGCTGGGGGCGACTGTGTGTGTGCCCAAGGCCCCGCTGTGCGGGGAGTGCCCGGTGAAGCAGCACTGCCGAGCACGGTGCAGGGTAAGTATGCCCCCAAAATGTGGCCCTGAGGGGTTGCCATGTGTGGGGACAGGGTGGGCTGGTGGATGAGCCTGTCCCCACTCCTGTCCCTCCTTGTAGGTGGAGAAGGAGCTGGCCTTTGCCTCGCAGAAGCTGTTTGGAAAACCCGCCCCAGTGCCCGATGTTGAGGACTGTGGTGAGCGCAGGGTTGACCTGTTGTAGCTTCAGGTCTTGGACCTGCAGCAACTGTTACCTGTGTTTGCAGGTGTTGGGGACTGTCCCCTGTGCCCCCCAGCCACGGAGCCGTGGGACAGCAGCCTGGGGGTGACCAACTTTCCTCGGAAAGCAGCAAAGAAGCAGCCGCGGGCGATGCGAACGGCCACGTGTGTGTTGGAGCGGAGGGGCTGCCGTGAGGGCCCCAAGTACCTCATCGTGCAGAGACCCAGCTCAGGTGATGGGGCTGGGCAGGAGGGGGATGGAGGCACCACGCAGCCCCTTCCCACTTGTGTGAGGGACAGAGCAGCCTGGGAGAGGCACTGGAGATGCAGTTCCTGCTGGGGTGGGGAAAGGAGGCCCTTGGGGCTATGAGGAGGCTCCGTGTCTCCAGATGTGCCCCTTGCTGTCTCACATTTCTGTCATGCCTCTTCCCCAGGTCTCCTGGCTGGACTCTGGGAGTTCCCAAGTCTCCCACTGGCTCAAGATCTGCAGGAGGAGAAGGAGAGGGAGGTGCTGGCTGATCACCTCCAGGCCTGGATGGGGCAGCCCGTGGCAGCCAAAGGCCTGCAGTTCATTGGAGAGGTGAGCCTGGAGCCAGAGGGATACAGTGTGAGCCCCCTGTGCTCAGCCACAGGGATGCAGCACAGGGGAAAAGGGTCCCCCTTCCCCACTGTCACCCTTCCCAAGCTCTGCCCCACTCCTCAGAGCCCTGGCAGACTCGGTGCACTTGTGGGGCAGCTGAGCTGTGCACCCCTCACTGCAGGCCAGCTGCCTGTTTCATGTGTCTTCCCGTCCCCTCATAGGTCATCCACATCTTCTCCCACATCCACCAGACGTATGTGGTCTATTCCCTGCCCCTGGATGGGGATGTGACCCTGGACCCTGCCTCCCCATCCCGCTGGGTGACACAGGAGGAGTTCCATGCCTCGGCTGTGTCCACGGCCATGAAGAAGGTACTGGGGGGCACCTGGGCCTCTCCTCCCTTCCCTCAGTCTTTCTGGGAGAGCCTCTGCCATCCCCTCAGCCTCTGCAGGCTGTCTCAGCTCCAAGACCCAGCTGCTGTTCAGCTCTGGGCTCTCTTGTGCTCCCTTCAGGTGCTGAAAGCGCATGAGAAGCAGCACAGGAAGGAGACCAGCCCTGGCAAGGTGAGCAGCGCTCCAGGGTGCCTGGAGCCCCAGGAACTGCTCCCTGTTGCTGTGGGACAGCCTCTGGTGTGCCATGCCGAAGCCCCCATGGGGTTTGGGATCAGTCCAAGGAGCATCCTGTGGCAGGGGGACTTGCCCAGCTGGCACTGCCCCAGGATATCCCCAGTACCAGGGGCCCCTTTCTCCAGAGGGGATCCCTGGAGGCTGTGGGGGCCCTTGGGGTTTGATTTAGTTCTACTGCTTGTCTCCTGTAGGGCTCCAAGCGGAAGCGAGGGGCAAAATCACAGGGAGCAGGCAGCACCTGCCCTA